CCCCACCGCTGCCCACCTGTTCGCGACCAGCACCGCGCTGTTGCACTTGAAGCCACTCCCAAACGCGATCTGCCACACCCGCGCGCCGCGCCGCAGCCCCGCGGTCGACTCAATATACGCCAGCTCGTACCAGACGCTGCAGCTGCTCGTGTTGCCGAAGCGGTACAGCGCCGCGCGGCTCGCCTCGACCATTTCCTTGGACATCCCGAGGTTCTTCTCCATCGAATCGATCACCCCGCGGCCCCCGGTGTGGATGCACGCCGCGTCGAACGCGGACGAGAAGTCGGGGGTGTAGGGCTTCCGCCACACGTCCGGGATCGGCAGCGCCGCGGAGAGCTTCTTGGGCGCCGCGCGCAGCGCGGCGCGCAGCAGCGCGCGCGCGGCATACTTGGCCTGCTCGCGCGCGGGCAGCACGAGCGGCCCGAGGCGCGCCATGTTGCGCGCGACGGCGCGGCCGGCGACGGCGATGAGCTCCTTTTTGAGGGAGACCCCCTGGTTGTGCGCCGCGTCGTCGGTCTGCCAGACGCAGCGGTACGCCTCGTCGTCGGCCGCCATGTTGGTGCGCACAACGTGGCGCAGTGTGTACTTGGCGGCGCCCGCGTCGGACGGGCGGCTGGACAGCAGGACGGCGGCGCCGTTGGCGCGGAAGAGCGTGTTGGCGATGAGCATCGACTTGTCGGCGCCGGTGTAGTAGCTGGCGGGGCAGGGGGGATGGGGGGGTTGGCGGCGTGGTGAGGGGCGCTGAGGTGGCGGGGCCACGCGAGCCGCAACAAGCCCCCAACCAGGCGGGCCGCCCGCCCGCGCGCGCTGCGGCCGCGACCGCGCCCTGCTCGCGTCTGGGAGCCGGCCGTGATGTCGGCGCCGGCGGGCGCGTCTGCGTGCGTCCGTCTCCCGGCCGGGCCTCGGCTCGGCGCGCCCACCTGTTTGTGATGTTCTCGTGAGACACCACGAGCGCGTAGGACCCCGGGTTGTTCTGCAGCAGCTCCCGCGCCAGGTCCACCGCCAGCACGCCGGCTGGGGCGCGGGCATTCGGGGGATTTGGGGTGAGGATGTGAGCATTTTTCGATGTGAAAAACGGGAGGGTGGGGGTTGGAGGGGGCGCCCTCGTCCTGGGGGCGCAGCACGGGAAGAGCGAGCGTCTCACAGGGGCACGCAGAGGCGCGCTCTGCTAGCTGACGGAGCGCGCCCCCGCGGCAGGCCCATGCGTCATTCTGAGCCCCAGGCGGGCGGGCCGCGCCGCCGCGGCCGCTCACCGCTGCAGCCCATGCCCCCGAGGGAGTAGTTGATGGTCTCGTCGCTCATCCTGAAGCGGTTCACGACAGCCGCGCTCAGGCTGGGCGTCGGGTTGAAAAGGCTGCTGTTGGTCACCACAAACTTGATCTGCGACGGCCGCACGCCCGTCTTCTCGAGCAGCTCCGCAACCGCCGAGAAGCAGGTGTCCTCAAACTCCTGCCGCGCGCACTCTATCCCCGGCCGGTGGTCCATGTTGCGCTGGATGGCCGGCACGATGGCGGTGCGGTCGGCGAGGCCGGAGCGGTAGGCGAGCTTGTCCATGAAGTCGATGTCATCGGGGGCAATCTGGCCGTTGTCTGTCGCGAGACGCCGGACGTCGGCGCGGGAGAAGAGCCAGCTGGGGGGCGGGGGCGGGGAAGGGGAGCGCGTGAGTGTGTGTGTGTGTGTGTGTGTGTGTGTGTGTGTGAGTGTGTGTAAGAGAGAGAGAGAGAGTGTGTGTGAGAGTGCGCCTGTGTGTGTGCCTGTGTGCGTGCGTGTGCATGTGTGCGTGTGTGTGCGCGTTGCGTGCATGCGTGTGAGTGTTAGGCTTGCCCATGAGTGCATGTGCGCATCGTCTGGGCGGTGCACACATGCCAAGGGGCATGGAGCAGCCGGTTGCTTCAGCCAGGGGGACGTGCACGCAACAAGAAGCGTCTCGGCTTAGATCCCGCGGAGTTAGGGATGCAGGGGGCAAACCTTGCCAGGTGAGCCGGTGTCATGTCCTATGGGGGAGACCCACAGTCACCGCGATTGCTGGTGTGCCAATGCACAGACCCGCTCGGCCGCGCCACAGTAACAGACACAGGGGAGGCGCTGTGCCGGAGCCAGCTGCCGGACCGCTGCGCCGCGCCGCACCTGGGGTCAGGCTTGTGGACTGCAAAGTCGACGATGTACACGCGCGGCTTCAGCAGCAGGCGGTGCGCGAGCCGCAGCAGCAGCGCGGCGGCCGCAAGGCCGGCCAGGAGAAGGGCGGCCAGGTTGACCGCATCGGTCTCAAGCCATCCGCTGCGCAGCGCCGCCAGCCGGTCACACAGCCATGCATCGCTCGCGCCCGCGGCCACAGGCGTGGGCACAGCGGCGCTGATGGGATCGGCGTCGCATGCGAGGCGCCCGAGCTTGCGGAGCGCGAGCGCCGCGGCCGCCGCTGCGAGGGTGTACTGCGTCTGTGCTGCGAGGCTGAGGCCGGCCACGCCTGCCGTCCCCGGCGCTGCCGCGGTACGCGGTCTCATGTGTGCACGGATCTATGCTTCTGCAGTCTTTCTGGCGCGTCCACGGCGCGCGTCTACGGGTGAAGGCCAAGAGCGCGGGAGCCCAGGAAAAGCAGGGATCAGGCGTTGTTCGAGCGAGGATGTGCCGGTGAGACGCGGCTTTCAAAGGCTAACATCGCAATCAAAAGCATCAGTGCGGCCACACGCACCGAGGAACCCCCCAACTCCCCCAAACCAGAGGGCCGTCCATCGCCCCACCACCTTCAAGCGGACCGCTGCCCCGAATGCTACAAGGCTCGCTCAACAAAGCGTGCCGCGCTGCTGCTGCGCCGCACTCGGCGGCCCCAAGGGTAACTCCCGAGTCCATGCTGGTCAGCGCCCTTAGGGTCGAGCTGATGCTACTGCCGCCACCACCTGAGCACAACAGGCGATACACAGCAAGGACGCGCCCTTGTAGCCCTGGGGCCACGCCGCGCACCGCAAACCAAGCGACAGGACCGTGGGGCCGATTCCCGCCAAAACGGCGCAGTGGTCCACGTCAGTTTGGGCCGCCCCAGGCCGACTGCAGCCCAGCGTGAAAGTCGCGTCCTGAGCTGGGCAGCCCCCTGGCCCCATGCATGTACACACAGCTGCACGGATGCGGACATGCGGCCTGGTGTGTGAGCGGCGCAAATCGTGGGTCCCCGCAGCGACCCGTTGACGCGATGGATCTACAGAATCTTTGCGCCATGCGTGCCTCAGGCGCATGCCCACTGTATCGTGAATGTCCAAGAGACACCCACACCAACACCCTTGCCATCGGCACGCAGCCCAACATCAGGCGCATGCACCGCTTTCAGTGGTGCTGCGGCAGATGAGGCCATGCCGCTCAGCCAAGCCAGGGTTGCATGCATGCAGTTGCATGCATCGCGGCGCCGCGCAGGGCGCAGCTGCACACCGCAGCTGCACAAGCGGCGGGTGAGGTTCGGGCCGTAGAGCTTGGGCTTTGCATGTGGCCTTCGTGCAGCGCACGCATGGTTGAGCAACCTGCGGTGCGCGAGCACGGCAGCCTGCGACCCCAGGCTTTCCTTTTCACTCCTCTGTGTTCATCACCACGCCATATCGCCCAGAAATGCCGCCAGCATCACAGCTTGCTGCAGCTTAGACCTCTTCGGCCTGGGTTTTGTCAAGGCGGCTTGCCATCACCAGGAAGCCAGGCTTCCCAGTGCCCTGCGGTTGACATGCACCATCGGCGCAGTGCCTGCTGCCCTCTGTGGCTCTGTCTGTGATACAACCTAACGGCAGCAGGTAGGCTAGAACAGACAATGTGAACATTATCATGGCTCATGCGCCAACCGACGGCAGTGGAGAATTGAAAGGGAAATCCGCGGGCCCGCCTTCTGCTGGGTGATCAGCATGCATCCCAGTGTGTTTGATTCGCGGGGAGTATCAGGTGCAACTATTGGTGTAAGCTCAATCGCTGAAGCAGATTCACGTCGGTTGTGCAAGGCTGATCTGCGTTCTTCTGCCCTAGGAGCCTTTCTGCCCCATCTGCCATCTGTAGCATCGTAGCAGCACAATTCACCACAACATGGCGGCGACACCCAAGGACCTTCTGGATCATATTGACTTCAGGTTTGAGGGAGAGCGCGTATGAAACAAATGCGACTGCCGCCGCTTTGCTGTAGGCCGGCTTTACCATGAGGCGCATGCATCCATGCTCGCGTTGCTGCGATCCAATTGTTTGGACATGCAGAAGGCAGTCAATATCATGCTGCCCTTGTGATCATGCGGGTTGAGAGGGGGGACGGCTTGGGCGGAGGGGGGGGGAGCACTACACCCCAGCTGGCACCCGGCACCCAACCC